ATCTGCCTAAATGGTACAGAAGGTGATAAGGACAAGGACAAGGCGGGTCTTGATAATGATGATGATGAAGTTTCTGATGAGGACTGACTGACTAGTCAAGGACATTTGTCAATAACATTAATATTACATTATAATGTATAATGCTCATTAATTTATTTTTTAAAATTAATGAACCACAATAAATATACATTATTATTGTTCCAATCACTGGTTACAGTTGCTCAAAGTTTGTGATTTAGCCTCTTCGAAAAATTTTCAGGCAGCACTGGGGAAAGCAAGAGCAACCAAACTATCTCAGTCTCTTTTAAATATCTAGGCAAATTTTTTGTGCTTACTCTATCTTTTAATAGAGCTTCAGATGCTAAAATAAATTTCAGCTTTTCTTCTTTCTCCTACCCACGTGCCATGTTTATCTGCACTGCACTGCTAGGTGCTGACCACACCTAAAATTTATTTTATGGATCAGTGCAGTAATTGGCTAATTGCATTGTTGCACTTTGTCAAAATCCTTTTTTCAAATATCAAGTTGCTTATATATATAATATCATGATGGGAGCAGTACAAGTAACATATTATCCCTCGGCTAGGTGAATCTCAGCAGGCGAGTCCACGCACCATGGTGCTTCATATTAGGCTAGCATGAAGGCAGGCAGGATTGCTGCGCTAGAGAGAGAGAGCTAACGATGCCTCATGTTGACACCCAAACACTGATTATTAATAACACAGCATGGAACATATATACAAAGATAGTTTATGAATATTTATGAGTTCTGATATGATGTCATGATGAGTCAGCTCACTACAGATCTAGCAATGACTTCAAGATTATAAATTGACATGCTAGAAAAAACAACATGATTGCTATTATAGATTAAAATAGACCTATTATTACTCATGCTATTAATAGGACAAGCCTGATCCAGTCCATGTAGAGTAAGTTTCCTTACTGCAGTCATGTTGACATCATAATTACTAATGTTAGTAGTTCTAATGAAGCAGAAGATGGTATTATTGTATTGAGACATATCCCTAGCATACACTGATAAAGGATGAGAAGGTGACTGAGTAACTGAACTACAGTCATGATCAGACACATAATACTGACCAGAGGAGACACTGGAGGAGCTACTGGAGAATAAGAGAACAACCACTAATAGGAGAGACATCAGTAGCTACTGTGACTGTCTGTGCTGACCAATTAGTCCATTCACTCAGTATAAGCCTAGGAGGTATTGTTTACAAAAGTAATTATGATTAGATCTATGATGAGCAGTACTCATGATTTTAGATTTACCAGTGAATGTTATTGTGTCAACAAAGCTGTTCTTGGGATATAGTCTTTTCCAAGGCTTGACTCATATTCTCATGTCAAATTGTTGATACTGTTTGAGTGCTAATGCATGAGCTACTCATCATGAAATGTTAGTATTTATATTCTTAAATTAAGTTAGACAAAAGTCTTATGACTGCCTCTAAATCATAGTAAGTGTTTATGTCCATGGCTTCAGATTTTATAGTGATGACATGCAAAAGTAGTCTTGCACAGCCAGACTACTCCCCAGCCTACGTGACTGTATAGGCTGGGGAATGGTTGGAGTAAGTGAGACTAATGTAAAAGCACTAAATTAAATGTTTGAAAAATAATTAATAACAATTAACAATAGATAAATAAAAGTATGAGGCAGCAAAAACTATTAAAGATTATGATTAAAACAAATCAACAACTGATTCACGACTATTATTCAGTCTAACATCAGTAGAAGATGGTACAATTTCTTTCATTTGTTGATCAACAGTTAGATGTGATTCATTTACATCTAAAAGAGGATCATCATCTTCATCTTGTTTCTTGAATAACATCTTAATTAGAGCATCATAACATTTCATATGTGATAACTGCAGGTAAAGATGATAAACAACAATCAAAATAAAACTAAAAATAAAAACAGATAAACAAGTATTGTACCAGATCAATACTTTACTGTCATCAGTAAAGGCTACAGATAAAGAAGCCATAATGCACAAGTTTAATAGGAACCAAACTTCAAGTACATTGTTCATTCTCTTCTTGTATACTCCACCAAAACAATAACCCAATGATAGCACAAGAGCTAACACTGTCAATAGCATTGACAATAGGAAGTGCTGTGACTGAATGAAACTGTCAACTAAAGTAACTGATAATAGTACTGGTATCCTAGCCACTAGCAGTAGACCAGGCCAGAACCGATACTCATCTTTCATTGGACCACTATAAGCATCAATAATAGGCTTTAAACGACTCCAGCTCTTAAACAGTTTGAAATGTGACAAATATGTCTCCAATACAGGATGAAATAAAAGGAACAGTGTGTATGGTATGACAAAAAGAATAGACACCAATAGGGTAAATCCAAATAGTCCAGCATGCTTCCCTTTAGCATATTCAACATTAGGATCCTCATACCATAAACTAACTGATTTTACTGACTCATTTGTACAGTGAAGAGTTACCTCACGCTTGTGTAGTACAATAACAATAGTACGTACTACTTTAGTATAT